TATACAGGCCTGTGTCCTCCTGATTTTTATTTCCTTGGAGAACAACTTATGCAAAGGACACCTTAGGCTGCTTAGCAGATCACAAAGGGTGCAGTAGACCCCCTCGCAGTCTGTTGAATAGAGTGATCTAAAGGATGGCTGAAACCATACCGGGAGTTCAATCCTTCAGGTGGGTCTTTTCAAATTCCAATAGTGAGGAGTTACTGGAGAATTGGTAAGGATTTCACTAGGTCCCAGCAGGTTTGAGATCAAAAGCTTTGGTTAAATAAAAGCCTGTTGGGAATTCTTAAACCTCTTTGTAATGTAACTTTAAAAAGTTAATACAAAGAACCCTTACCCTGAAGCCTGAAATATCACGAACAAAGAGTATATCAAAACTGATTCCATTAAGGAAAAGCGGACATACAAATTCACTTAATTTAAAGAGCAATCCAGTTATATTACTGTGGGAGAGAATAGAACGTATACCAACCATCGAGCCCATTTAGAAGATATGCTCACTTCTTGTTACATATGCCAGACTTCATTCTTTGTTGTTCAGATATACCCTTTTAAACTATATATATATATATATATATATATATATTCATGTTCTGAAAGGAGAAAGAGTGATGTGCATTTAAAATCACCCCTAAAGAAGATACGTTTGAAACAAATTAAAATTAAACTTGATGGGGACCCATCAGTCAGTTGGTTATCTCTTTTTTCATGGTGTCAAACTGCTAACTGCCCGTCCTCCTTAAAATATTAAATCTTCAATTGATATTGATTGGTAGATCATTAATGAGTGCATTAATTAGAATGTAATTTTTATAATTAATACAAATCCATTTCTTGGCAATTCACACACTTTTATTAACCGAACTCATCAGTTAATATTTTTAATGGAAATATTTTGCTCAACAACCATTCACACAAGAAAACCCTTTATTTGATTTTAATGTCTGGATTTTGCAATTTGTTTTGAATCTTTTGAAGCATTCTCATGTACTCAAAGTCTCTCACATTTTTACATCAGGCATGTGGAATGGGTTGGATAAGCACTGCTTTCCTTTTTTGTTTTTAATGAATAGGGATACTGAGGCACACTTGGTAGGGCAAATACGTTCTCTTGATTGCACAGTCATTTAGGGAAAGTTTTCACTGGAACCTATAGTCCCCAATTTCAAGCCAAGAGATTTTTCAAATGAGCAATGGCTAACAAATTTCAAAATGGCAAACACTGCTGGACTCATCCCCAAGAACTCTTTCCCAAGTGTGGTCATTACCGACAGTGAATGACCTGAAATTCTCATATTGATAGATAGAGAAATTTGGTCCTTCTCCCACATTCAAGTTTCCACCTCCATTTTCTCATCTCTTCTTCATTGTGTCTTGCTTTACCTTTGTTCTTTCTCCTCATCCTTCTCTGTGTGTGTGTCATCTGATTATGACAGGAAAACAATTGAGTCCATATCTTCAGATAATATATTGAAGTATGGTACCTATTTGCTTTGTCTAACAATGGACAGGTTATTTTGATTTTCTGAATTGTATAAATCATCCCATTCGATTGAATGCCTTATTGATTGAATGACT